CGGCTGGGCCTTCGCCACCTCCTACAAGCTCAAGCGGCACTTGCGGTCGCATGACAAGCTGCGGCCCTTCGGCTGCCCGGCGGACGGCTGCGGCAAGAAGTTCACTACCGTGTACAACCTCAAGGCGCACATGCGGGGCCACGAGCAGGAGAGCCTGTTCAAGTGCGAGGTGTGCGCCGAGCGCTTCCCCACGCACGCCCGCCTCAGCTCGCACCAGCGCAGCCACTTCGAGCCCGAGCGCCCCTACAAGTGCGACTTCCCCGGTGAGCGCGCGGGGCGGTCCGGGCCGACCCCGGCGGGTGGCGTCCGTGCTCCCGGGTGACGGCGTGGCGGGTTCGACCGCGAGCCTGCGCGTAGTGAGAGGCGACCTTCCGTGTCGTGGAGGCAGTATCTGCCGCCCTGGGGCGCTTCCTTTCATGCGGGGGTAGCGCATCTTGAGGGCGCTGCGCCGGGTCGAGTCAGGTCGGTGTCAGGAGTGGTGAGGGGGCTCCAGGTGACAGAGATAGCAGAGGTAGAATCAAAGAGCGTGGTTATCGATTTGGGGGAGAGGGTTCCTTATTAAGACAGAGTCAGTGTTCAGACTTACCTGACCAAGTGTGAATACACCAGCGCCTAAAGGGGTGGGGATGGAGACCAAGTTGAGGCCAAAGAGGATGACTTTAGGGTGTTCAGGAAGATCAGCGTTTGCCAGCTAAACGCTGCTGGGGAAAAGTGGGGCTCCTCGGGTTGACCCTTGTGTGCAGTGCTGTGTAGCATATGAGCTGCGTGGTGGCTCACAGCACGGTGACAGCATGTTAAAGGCTCTGAGAAGAGCTGCAGCAAAGAGACCTGGTCACACTTCTTGCACCCGCACATTGTCCACCCTGTTTGAGCACTGAATATTTTTGTCAAAGGAGAAGTCATTATGTGGAAGGCTTGGAAATTGCTGCGGTGCAGGCTGCTTTGGCTGGTAGCTTGGCTGGGAGTTGAGCATGGAGGTGAAGGGGACACGGCAGGGAGCCTGAGGAGTGGGAGAAGGAAAAAGTGGCCAGACAGCACAGTGGGGCTGGCAACTATAGAGGAGGTGGGGGAAATCATAAGCGTGGAGGACGCAGCGTAACCCCAGGGATGAAAATCTGAGCTGCTAGGATGGTGTGTAACTCTGCAGAGTTCAACCCTGCCAGACACAAACTCGTTCCCTAGTATTTTGTTTTTGTTATGAGTTTTTCTTGGGTCACACGAGCAGCGTTGCCATCTGAGTTCACAGAAGACACGCTGAATGCACGCGAGATCAGTGCTGCAGAACCAGCGAGCAGAGCCTGTGATTGGAGGATTTTCTCTTGATTAGTTGCTCCATCTCCAAGTCACATTGCAACAGGTTGCCTGATGCCTATTGGCTGCTATCTGTCACCGCTATGGTAGCTATGACAAAGCCGGACATTAGTGGTCGCGACTTTTTAGAGAGTGTTTCTGAGTCATTTGTTTCCTTGTCTGCTTCAGTGTGAACTGGTCTGAGGTTGTGACTAATATTAGTTGTGTTGTGTGATTTTTGTCACATCATGAGCAGGGTTGTGTTTTCTTCTTGCAGGCTGTGAGAAGACATTCATCACAGTGAGTGCCCTGTTTTCCCATAACCGAGCCCACTTCAGGGAGCAAGAGCTCTTTTCTTGCTCCTTTCCTGGATGCAGCAAGCAATATGACAAAGCCTGCCGACTGAAAATTCACCTGAGAAGTCATACAGGTAGTGAGTTAGAGAGTGCAACATCGTTTGGACCCAAGATGTGTCTGTAGTAGCTATTGCATTTATAATTAGGCCATGTAATTTTTCTCTTCTATAAGGTGAAAGACCGTTTATTTGTGACTCTGACAGTTGTGGCTGGACCTTCACCAGCATGTCCAAACTTCTAAGGCACAAAAGGTAATTCTTACATTTGGGTATGTGTTATCAGCTTTGAAAATGAATGGTTTGTTAGTTGCAGAAACCTATCGATGAAATATCTGTAGATTTTTTTTAAAGGAAACTGTAAGAAGAAAATTGCTTAGACTCTCATTACCTAAATGCAGTTTTTATAATGTATACTTTTTTACACTTAGTTGGCATACTTGGATTGGCCACTGAGCACAGTTGGTTAGAGTGCTGTATGATAACACTGAGGTCAAGGGTTCAGATCCCCATACTAGCCAGCTACCCCCCCCCCCATGGCATACTTTATGTATGATTTCAGTTTTTTAAACTTTACATTGTAGATTGAGCTTTCCTTGTGTCGTTACACACTTCATGGTGCTGACAGCCTTGGTGCCTGTGTCCAGGGTATGCTCAGCACCCTCCACGTGTCTTATTCCCTCTTCGTGACAGCTCCCACATCGATGTTCTCTCTGCTTTACAGTGAGGCTTCGAGATGTTGGGTAGTTTGTCTAAACTTGCACAGGTGGGGTCTGAGGGGTGTTAGTATAAAAAGTCACTTAGGACAGACACAGTCTGTATGAGTTGGCTTGAGGGATTCTCTTAGCCTCACAGCTAGTGTTCCGTTCACTCTTCTCATGGCCCTCAGTACCTTGGAAAGCCTGTTGATCACAAGTTTTCTAAACAAAAGAAATAGCTTCATTGATACATTTGGGACTTACCTGTTCATACATTGAAGTAGCACTAATTGTTCTGCGCCTGACTCTTGGGTCAGCTTAGTCATTAAAAAGTAGAAATTTCTAATTTGGGGGTAGCTAAATTGTAAATCTCACATGGACTAAAGACAGAATTAAGACTTTCTGGAATGGACTGATGATTTTTTTTAAATACAAAGAGTTTGCAAGTTGTTATATTTTGCAGAATTTTAAACAAGGAATCACCTCTGAGGCCTGTGACTTGTGTAATTACTGCTCCTTTGCTTTTCTGTTCTGGCAGGAAACACGATGATGACCGGAGGTTTACCTGCCCTGTGGAAGGCTGTGGGAAGTCATTCACGAGAGCAGAGCATCTGAAAGGCCACAGCATAACCCACCTAGGGACCAAGCCCTTCGAATGTCCCGTGGAAGGTAGGTTTTATTTTTATTTATTTATTTGTTTGGCAGCTAGCCAACATGGGATTGAACCTGGACTTTGCACCACATTCTAACCAACTAGGAGGTAACTTTTAAAACGTTGCTTTGAGCTGTAAACTAAGTACCATGCCAACATGCGTTGTAAGTAAGTTGTGTAAAGGTAAGTTTTAGTTGCTTAAGGACAAGGTATAGGTCACAGCATTATCTTTACTTGGCTCATTGAGTTAACTGTGCTGTCTTGTGAGCAGTGTATTAGAAAGAGCATGGATGTGAGAATCAGAAGTGGTTTGACTCCTGGCCCTGCCACTCACCAGATTACCTGTTTAATTTGGTGATTGTGAGGATTAAGTGAAATGTCCTGTAAGAAATTCCTGTTTATGCATCTGGCACATAGCTCAGACTCTGCAGATGATACGTAGCTGCTCACGTTGTGATTGGACGGCAGTAAAGCTAGGATGACTTTTTGAAAAGGGTATTAGAGAGTTTTTTTCTGTAAAAAGCTGAAGGCAGAGTTCATTTGCCAAAAATCTGTTGTGTGGCTCCTCCGTGCTGGCCACTCCAGTACTGCAGGTGCACTGGGAGTCAGGGTGTGTCAGCTGGTTGCGAATCCCAGTTCTGCCGCCACCATTCCCTCAGTTGCTGACCGCAGGCAGGCCGCTTCTCTGTGCCTTGGTTTCCTTATCTGGAAAAGGGAATAATAGAGACCCATTTAAAGCTGGGACTAGTTCTTGGAACACAATGAGCATAGTACAAGAGGTATAACCAAGACAGAGTTTCTCCTTCCAGCAGAGATTCAAGTGGCGCACAGACAGGTGAGCAGTGACATGTGGGGTGGTTCAGGGTCACAGGTGTTCGCCCAGACTGCTGTCGGGGTGGGAGCAGCCTCCCAGTCGGCTGAAGAAGGAGGAAGAGCTAGCCAGACACACGTGGGTGCGGGTGTGGGTGTTGGAAGCAGAAAGACCAGGGTGGGAGCAAGCCGAGTGCTTGAGGTGGGCCAGTGATGTGATCGCCTGTGAGCTGCGGCTCACTCTGGCTTCGAGATTGAAAACAAGTAGGCTTGTAGGGAGATACTGCAGTCTTCTGGGGAGGCAGGGTGTGCCTGGACTAGGGGTTGGCCGCAGGAAGAGAGAGAAACATCTCCACCACAGAGATGGGAGTCAGAAGTAACAGTACGTGGTGACGGTTTGCATCCAGATGGGGTTGAAGGAGAGGCAGTAGTTGAGGTCAGTATCTCAGCTGAGCTGGGGACGCAGGAGGGCTGGTGTGGAAGTGTTGCATTTTAGGTACCTTCAGCCATGCAAGTTGAGGCGCTCAGACGGCTGGAAGTGTGCTGCTGGAGCTGGGAGAGCAGCAGGCAGTGCCCGAGAGGGGGGCAGTTCTCAAGGAGCAGTGTAGATCACCATAGTGGTTGGAAGCGCGAATTCCAGAGGCACACTGCTGGACTAGAGTCCCAAGTCTGCCACTTCCGTAGCTGTGGGTGCGTACACAAGCATCTTAAGCTCTCTGTGCCTCTTCCTCACCTGTAAAGTGGATGAAACGTCACAGGGTTGCTGTGAGACTCAACCAGTTAGTAAGTGTAAAGCACCTTGAAAACACCAGCGCTTGTCAGTTACTGTTGTCGTAGCAACTGCTGTTGGTTTTTAAAAGGCCTGGGGCAGAGCCTTGGGACTGCCACAGATTGAGGTGGAGATGTGGGCGGGGAGCCCTGGCAGGAGTCCTGGGAGGGCCAGCAGGAGCACAGGGCCAGGATTGAGCATGTGCCTTGGGTGTCACCCACCAGGTCCTCTGTGTTGCTGGAGAGGCTCTAGGGGGGTAACTCGGGCAGGGCCCTCCACCAATCCCCTGAGAGGTGGCCTGAGGGGAGGCAGGGGACGCTTTGTGTTGACACTTTTTGTTGAGGTGATTGAGGGGAAGAGGAGAAGGTATGCTGGAGAGGCTCTAGGGGGGTAACTCGGGCAGGGCCCTCCACCAATCCCCTGAGAGGTGGTCTGAGGGGAGGCAGGGGACGCTTTGTGTTGACACTTTTTGTTGAGGTGATTGAGGGGAAGAGGAGAAGGTGGGAGCTGGCTGTGTGGGGGGTCATTTATTTTTTCAGAGCTGTCGAGGAACTTGGAGCACATCTCGGTGTTGAGGAGTCTAGAAGGAGAGGTTGGCACTCGGCAGTGGGTGGTTGAGAGCGCCCATCCTGTGGAGCGTGGACATAGAGTCGGGATCAGCCCCTTTTCAGTTTGACTGAGAGTTGACACCTCTTGAGTCTGGGTGATGGGGGCTGATTGCACCATTTTCTTTGTTGCGGTAGATGTTTGAAATGTTCTATAATAAAAAGTAGGAAAACAAACCAGCCCACCTTTTCCACAGTAACAGGAGGAGGTAAGGGCGGGGTGCAGGCAGTGATCGTGTGAGGGTGGACGGTGTGGGGGTGCCGGCGGGTCAGTCTGAGCGGGGCCAAGGTCAGTGTGTAGGTGATGGGAGGCTCTCGGGTACACGTGGTGGTGTCCATGTCCCTTGTATGTGGAAGCCTTTCACACAGAATACAGGCTGGCAGGTGTTTGCGTAGTCATCCACATACATGCCTAGCTGTGCTCTTTTTTTTTTTGTCTTTTTTCGTGTCCGGCAACGGATCGCAACCCTCAGTGTCGCGCCCGTACCGGACCGGGACCGGCAACGGGATCGCAACCCTCGGTGTTGCTCCCACACCTCGCTCAGCCAGTGAGCGGGAACCGGTCTGTATGTGGGATCCGAACCCTCGGCGGGAGCGCCACCACGCTCCCAAGCGGCGCACTGTAGCAGTGCGCCACCGGGCCGGCCCCTAGCTGTGCTCTTAAGTGCAGATTTGGAGCAAATTTGTCAGAGGTGGGCTGTTTGTGCCCCTCCTCTGGGTTTGGCTTTGCTTTGTGAATAATGACACCAATCTCAGTAAATAGTGGTGCCATTAGGACATGCCAGCAGTTAACATGCATGGAGAAGTGGGCACACTCCTGGTCATCAGTGGAGACACAGACTAAAATGAAATGTATTTTGTTGCCTAATTAGCAAATATTTTTTAAAATGGAAGCTCACTGCTGGCAGGAGTGTGGCTAGTGTCCTGTTGTGGGTAGCCCTTGCCACTGGGAGAGCAGTTTGATAAAAGGTGTGTCCAGAGCCTCTGTCTCTAGAAACCTCACTGAGGACACCCACCTGGAAGAGGGGGTCCAGGCACCTGTGCATCCTAGAGAGCAGAGCACGCACAGAAAATAGCGCTGCATGGGTGAAGCTGGAGCTCCTGACCCTCTGTTGTATTTCCAGAAGTTCTTTCATGAGCCTGACCTGGAAGCAAGTTTGAAGCTTTATTTGAAAATGAAATAAAGTTAAAACTACACTTGGAGGCAGCCAAGGTCCTCATTCATCTGGCCATATCCTGTCTTTTTAGCCTCTTTTCCTAAAACATCCCCCTTCCAGGCCTTGGGCTCTGGCTATTGGGCCCCTGTCCCAAGGGTGTGCCCTGCGTGCCGTGTAGCCGGGCAGGTGCTCTGTCAGAGACACTGCCTTATTTGCATCTCACGACATCCTTCAAGGTAGGTGTCTTTCCCCTCTTACAGGGAAGGAAAAGGAGATAGACAAAGGGTAAAAACATGTCTGGGGTCACACAACCAGCCAGCAGCCGAGCTCGAGGTGGGGTCCAGTCCCTCAACATCCACCCCCTGGCTGGAACCCTGGTCTGCTGCCTTTCCCAGCCCTCCATGCTGAGCTTGGCCGTCCCCTCAACTAGAATGCCCTCTGCTTTGCCACGGGGCAGCCCCACCACACAGCAGGGCCCCTTCACCTTAGACGCTCCCTGCCTCACGAGACCTTTTTATCTTTTCTCAGGTGTGCTGTTTCCTCTGCTTCTAGAGTGCCTCCTTGTTTCAGCATGATTTAATTCTGCCTTTTGTTCCAACACTGATTGTTATGTGTCCCTACCAGATCACAAGCTTGCGGCATCCCAGAACCTCGCTTTTCCTGTCTGCTTGTGTTTGGGGCAGCGCTTCACCGTAGTGGGAAGTCAGGCATGAAGGGACAATGACCATCAACCTGAGCTTGTCTTGTTTCCTTCTGTTGTCCCTCTCATGCATGGGACTTAGCAACCTGCCTCTTTAGGCCTTGTCCACAGTCCCACGGGCAGGACATCGACGGTGTCTGGGTGGCAGTGGTGGCTCTCTAGGGCATGGTGGAGTTGCTGTTCCTGGCGGGAACAGGTAGTGTAGAGTTGCTTCTGCTGTGCAGAGTGTTTCCTCTAGGAGGCAGGACGTGTTTCAGGAGTGGCTGGGGAAGTGGGGGCTGGAGAGGAAGGAGGGATGAGAGAGGAGCCGCGACAGTAGTCCAGGGACACCTGACTAGGAGGATTCTGAGCATGCAGGTGCCTGGGCATTTGTCGCCTTTGTGGCATGGGACTTAGCAACCTGCCTCTTTAGGCCTTGTCCACAGTCCCACGGGCAGGACATCGAGGGTGTCTGGGTGGCAGTGGTGGCTCTCTAGGGCATGGTGGAGTTGCTGTTCCTGGCGGGAACAGGTAGTGTAGAGTTGCTTCTGCTGTGCAGAGTCCCTGGAGGCCGTGGGTGTTACTAACAGGCCCTCTTCTCCATGACCTGTGTGGCAGGTAGTACTGGCCTTGGGGCACAGCCTGTTCCCAGGTGTGATCCTGGGCAGGGGACAGGCCTTTAAGCCCCATTTTCCTCATCTTTAAAACAGGGAAGGCAGTTAGAGTAGTTCTCGCCAAGTGTCTCGAGTGCCTAGTACAGAGCTCAATGAGTGGTCAGGGCCCAGAAAAGGTTGTGTCCTTCCTGTGGTTTCCTCTGATCCTATTTATTTATTTTATTTTTATTTTTTTGTCCTTTTTGAGACCGGCTGCACCGCGCTCAGCCAGTGAGTGCTGTGAGAGCACCGGTCATCCCTATATAGGATCCGAACCCGCGGCGTGAGCGCTGCTGCACTCCCAGCGCCACACTCTGCCGAGTGCACCACAGGCTCAGCCCCTCTGATCCTATTTAGAAGAGGTCCCTCAGTCCCTCGGTTGGGTCCAGGACACATTGTCCTTTCACGGTGCACAGCAGTACTATTCAGCTTTGTATTTCAAGAAACTGCCCTTCCTCTAGATGCAAAGTGTCTAGAGGATGGGGAGAGTACGGGTCTACCTGATTCATGTTGGAGGGTGTGACCTTTGCTCTCAGAGGCCCTCAGTGACCAGGTTTCCCTCCGCCAGCTCTGAGCTGGTGTCACTCAGGCCTGTCTCCTTGGTTCCCACCAGTCCCTCTCGCAGTGCACTTCCCCTTTCCAAATATGGCGGATCCCAGATGAGCTTTCCTTAAACTCCAGTTGCGTGTGAGACCATCCAAGGTGTTTCTGTAGTGCCCTGTGTATCGCAGGGTCGTATGTATGATGTGACATTGATTTATTTGTGTCACAGGTAGATAACCAGGTATTGCAGTCCTTACCTACTGAAAAAAGGCAAGTGGGAATGTCTGATTACTGTGGGATTAGGCCAGTCCCTTAATGGATTGTTTCAGGACCTGAACACTGGTCCTAGGTGTGCTTTGTCATTGATGAAACCAAGGTGGAAAGAAGGGCCTGCCGAGGTCGTAACAGACAGGAAGTGCTGGAGCCAGGACTTGACCTGGGGCCCGTTTGCCTCCTGGCGTTGCGTTGGTAACTGTTGTGTTAGACTCTGTACCAACTAATGTTTGTTTAGCAGCTTTTTAATATCTGGCCCTTGCGCATGTCAGGTCTGAAGTAAAAGTTTGTGGACTTAATAAAATGCTAAATAGGAAGTTTTTGAATAAATTGGCATCTCTGTTTGCACTGAGATTATTATTAATCTTTTCATAGGGAACTGAATCCTCAAGATAGGCAAGAGAATTTTTGGAAAGTTTTGAAAAAGTGACATAGGTTTCCATTTTTAATTTCTCCAAAGAATCACTACCATTTTCTTTCAAAATGTTTCATTGATACTGAGAGATATTTATTGAAGAAGTGATATTACACTACTTTTTTTTTAAACGTTGAAGTAATATGACAGTTAAACTAAGAACTTTTATTTTTGGTCTAGAGTAGATTTCTTTCATAGATTTGTATTAAAAATATAATAGGCACCCTGACTGGGTGTTCATAGCTTGAAAGTATGAGTTTGAGGTTAGCTGTCAGTTGGTTTGGAGAAATAGATGCAGAGAGCCCCGAGAGAACCTCTGCCCTCTAGGCCAGGCACTGGTGTGGTCAGGAAGCTGCAGTGGGCTTTCTTGGGGAAGAGTAACATGAAGGCCTTACATCGCTCTTCTGCACAGACACGTTGTGCTCCCGTCTTCCCACGTGCTCGAGTCGTGTAATTTGGTATGACTGGCGTGTACTTGTATATAAACCCCCAACTTGGACATTCGTTGGAATTATTTTGAAGTATGTTAATGTTCATTATTCCCTCAAGGATATTCTTATAAAATCACTTAATTGAATAACAGATAACAAAATATTTAAAGAGCATTGTGACCAAAAATTAAGACTCTGCATGAATAGGAATCTCTTGGAGTTATTTCTGCATAACTATTAAATGCTGCATAAGGGCCCTGTGCTGTGTTAGGTTCTGCCCCACAGGTGGGGCGGGGTGGGGGGTGAGCAGTTGGAAATGCAGTGGGGGGGGAGGGGGGCTCTGGGAGGGGAAGCCCATCAGGAAAGCTCCATCTAGGGGGCATGTCTCCAGAGTGTGGGGCGGGGTACCTACTGTTTGAATTCTCTGCAGCTGCTGAGAGCTGGGGCTTTGCTCCCGCCCAGAGCCAGGCCAGGCAGGCCAGTTGTATTCTTGGTCACCTCCAGATGGCTCGAGTCAGTTTAGGGGTGGCAGCTCATTGTGTAGTGGGGCACAGAGTTTGACAAGATATGAGCCGACCAAGCTGATGCCAGAAATATCCCCAGAGCCAAAGTTTAGCTCATCATTGGCTTCAGAAGACGGTGTACTGGAGGAAGTTGCACAGTCTTCTCAGGGTTAGCTACTGTGGTGTATGTGAAAGAGCTTTCAAAGACACGGATCCCAGTCTTACCTTGCCAGCAGATGTGACTTTAGGGAAAACATTGTTTAATCTCTGCAGTCACTTTTCTGGAGAAGTGCCAGTCAGCTCGATGACTTGAGGTGTGTGGAGAGTGTCTGACATGTTGTCAAGTGTGCCTCCCCTCCGCGGGTGTCGGTCGCCAACAATATGCTGATGTAGGTCCCAGTTAGTGATGGTGGGCAGTGGGGTACAGGATAGGACAGTAAATGTTGCCCTGAGGGGTCGCTTGCTAACATCTTGAGCATAAGCAGAATTCCTTTGTCTCCCAAGGTCATAAAATAACCCGAGCATTCCTTCCTTTTTCAGATCTCTTACCTCAGCTAGAAGTTCCAGGTTCTCTTACGCCCAGCAGTGAACTCAGCAGCCCGGGCCAAAGTGAGCTCTCTAACATAGATCTAGCAGCGCTCTTTGCTGATGCCCCTGCTAACGGTACTAGTTCTGCAGGCGGGTCGGATGAGGCTCTGAACTCTGGAATCCTGACTATCGATGTCAATTCTGTGAGCTCCTCCCTTGGAGGGACCCTCCCTGCTAATAATAGCTCCTTAGGGCCGATGGAGCCCCTGGTCCTGGTGGCCCACAGTGATATTCCTCCGAGTCTGGACAGCCCTCTAATCCTTGGGACAGCAGCCACAGTCCTCCATCCGGGCAGCTTCAGTGTGGAGGACGTGCAGACTGTAAGTGCAGGTGCATTAGGCTGTCTGGTGGCTCTGCCTGTGAAGAACTTGGCTCAAGACACCCCACCTTTGACCTCCAGCAGTGACTTCTCAGCGTACGTCACCACACCGACCTCTTCAAGCACCCCCCAAGAAAATGCCAGTGTCCCAGAACTGCTGACTTCAATCAAGGTGGAGCCGGACTCGCCTCCTTTTCCCGATGCAGTTGGGCAGCAGGAAGGGTCTGTGTGCTCCAGCCCAGCAGAGAGACATGGTGCTCAGCAGGACACAGAGCTCAGGGCATGCTCCGGAACCTTCTATTTGGTATGAAGCACAATATCCAATCACCACCACATAGCTCACTGCTCTTATCTCAGTTTTGAGGGTGTTCTGGATTAATGCTTTCTATGCAGACGTTTCTCACTGGTTTGCAAAAGAATGGAGCCCTGAACTATGAGTCTGGAAATCCGAATCCAACCTCGAGTCTGGAAGTGACGAGTTCTTACGATCTTGAGCAGATCACTTATCTGAGCCTTAAATTCTCATTTATTTCTAAAATAAGGGGATTTGGCTAGATGGTTTCTAAGGTCCTTTTGGGCTCTGTGATTCCATGATAATGTGTTTTGTTTTTTTTGAAAAAAATTGGGGTACTTCGTAATGTTGGAATGATTTGCCTTGTGCTTTCCACGTGAGGACAAGTCCTATACGAGGATGAATCGCAACATAAAGATTTAAAGGACTGTCTTTGAAGGATTAATGGAAACTTTAAAACCATGTCAAAATATTTTTAAAAATTAGAATTAACAAGAAAAAAAATGGGAGTGGTTATGAGCCTTTGCTCTTGGAGGGCTCTAGGATTCTTCTCCAGTTTTGAGTCTGGACAGTCAATACACTTTAATTTATGTCAGTTGTACATTTAATGTAACTATTTAACATAATTTGACTAAAGCTTCTTAGGAGAGTCTGGCTCTCATTCTCACACGAGATGATCACATGGGTTTTTCTCTGTGGCACAGGTTAAATTTGATGGTGACATTTACATTCAAAATGTTACATCTTATTTTACCACAGCACTAAAACATAAAGTCTTTTGAATCAGGATAAGTTGCGAGGACACACAGTAACTGGTCTTCCGAGGAGCCAGCTTTTACTCTTTCAGTTTAAGAGAGGGCAGCCTCTGTCTCTCTCTCCGTTCCTGCCATCCTGCTTGTGGGTGGCACAGTCCTGCTGGCTAGCATTTGCTTTGGCTGCCACAGCAGTCGCTAAGCGGACAGGTGGCTGGGTAGGGATGGGAGGTGGCTGCAGGTGAGAGGTAAGTGGGAGGGCAGTCCCTGGCACAGGGACTCGGTGCATTGGGAAGCAGTAGCTCTCCGGAGCCCTGCTGCACCCCCAGAGTTGGGACTGTGGGTGGAGGCGGAGGTGCTGCCGGACCACGACCCTAACCCCCTGTTCGTTTTCTCGCTAGCTGTGTGAAGTTGGGCTACCTCGCTTCTCTGAGTACAAATGGTGTGTGGTGAATGGGTTACAGGTATGCCACGAGCTGTTGAGGGCTGTTCTTTTTCTTTTTTGTAGTGATAAGTATTAAACCGTTTTTTAAATAAAACATTCACAGTTTTACAACGGTTTAAGTCCTATTTGAATACTGTTTGTCTCGCTCCCTCAGTTACCGTACTGAGTTCAGTAGCATAATGACTGGGTGTATATGACTGTGATCAAGGCCCCTGCCACCAGGGTGACCTCTGCAGTGGGTACACAAGGCAGGACTTGCCTGGGTCTGCGGGACAGTAGGTGGCACGTGTGACACGGGGGGGGATGCTACTGTGTAGTCACAAGTCACCAAGGGAAGGTGGTTAATGTTTTAGAAAGCAGAGAAGTATGTAATTCATTTTATTACAGTTTCTGTGTAATATATTTTAATGTTTTAGACTTTGGAGGAATAAACTTTGCTTCTCTGGATAATAAAACTATGTATATTGTTCCAAGTCTGATTTTGCTTAGCTACCATGGTAGCTGGACGCAGCATTTGGTTCTGTGCGTTTGCTGGGGATTCTGAAGTCGTTCTTGGAGTCCTAACGTGCTCAGGAAGCAGACTGACGACGTTTCTGTAGTTCCCTTACTACCCTTCCTTTGCTGTTCACATCAAGTGACTGACACACTTTTCTTTGGTCTCAGGAAAGTGGGGGCTCAGCAAGAACTGATTACCGAGCCATTCAACTAGCCAAGAAAAAAAAGCAGAAAGGAACTGGGAGCAACGCAGGTGAGGCCGTGTGTGCTGCAGTGCTGGGGTGAACGAGGGGCAGAGAGCGCTACGTTGCAGTTAAGGCAGGAGAGATGCGCAGGACAGGTGTCCCTGTGTTCTTATTTTACTTTTATGTTCAAAATGCCTTTTTAACACTCCTTAGTTTTATGTGAACTTAATGAAAAAAGTAGTAACAAAATTCCCAGCATCATTATGAACATGTTATATTTACCTTAAAAAAGCTGTGTGAAAGTTCGGGGTCCAAACACAAGTGTCAGTTACCTGGCAGGCTCCTCAACCAGATGAGCAAAGCAGGCCAGTTGTAACAGAGCGGAGGGGGTCCTGACTGGCCACTGGCCCTGACCTTGGTGTGACAGAGACCCTGGGGGGGGGTTGCCACTGTCCCCAAGGGCAGTGGTACATGGAGCCAGCCCCTGTGACCTGTGGCATTGTGGCCCCCAGTTCAGAGTTACGTTGAAATCTTCTTTTAAAATGTCAGCAACTTATTTGAATTTTTTTTTTTTCCTTTTTTTTGTCTTTTTTCGTGACCGGTGACGGAATCGCAACCCTCGGTGTCGCGCCCGCACTGCGCTCAACCAGTGAGCAGACCGGTCTCTATATGGGATCCGAACCCTTGGCGGGAGCGCCGCCACACTCCCAAGCGCCGCCCTCTACCGAGTGCGCCACCGGGCCGGCCCAACTTATTTGAATTTTTAAAAAATACTATGTGGACCAAACAAGACCTGGTAGTTTGTGGCCTCATGGTTCTGTCCCTCTTGAATATGGAGTAGTGGGACACAGTGCTTAAAGGAAACTGGTAAATCCTTTTATGAAAGTAACAGCGAATTCTTTTAATACATTATTTTTGTGTATTTCACTTGTCTTTTATGTTTAATATTTATTTTTAAAATATCAAGGTATATGTAGAGTCAGCAATACAATTTTCTGTCTTGCTCTCTATTCTTAATAGCGTCATAGGTTTTCATTTAAGATAAATAACTCCGTTTTCTGTCAGTTTTCTTAAAGCAAATATTTCCCTATAATGTCGTACATGTCAGCGTGAATAGTGACTTAGGAAGGGATTCCTCCGCAATTCAAAGGGTACCAAGATGGAATTTGCAGAGATAATGGAAGGAGGTGTAGGGTGGAAATCTGTACAAAGAATTCACCACATGCTAAGCAGAGTTCATGAAGCAAGCCACATGCCTTTATTGAACCTGGTAGACAATCTTCAAGGAAGAGGAGTGCTACAAGCATTTGGGTGTATAACACATGGTGCATTCATTGCATTGCAACGATATCTATAGAGGTGGTTTGATTTTTTTTGTTGTTTTGTTGTTTTTGTAAGTATTTCAGAATTATCTTTAAGAAATACAGGCACTTTAAAAAATTATAGCCACATATTGTATCACTTCTTTAAACATTAATAGTATTTCCTTAATATCATTATCTACCAAGTGTTCAAATTTTCAGTTGTCCCAAATGCCATGTTTTTTATAACTGTCTATTCAAATAAGAATCCAAATCAGGCTCACACAGCACCATTGGCTGGTAGATTTAAGTCTCTCTTCGGCGGCAGGTCTCTCCCGCAGTCTCTCTCGTGCTTTTGTTGAAGGAACTGGGTCCCTTGTGCTGTCGAGTTTGCCAGTTTGGATTTCGCTGATCATGTCACTGCGGTGTAGTTTAACAGGTTCCTTCGTTTTTGGTGTTTCCTATAAATTAGTAATTACACCTAGAGGCTAGATCTGCTTGATTCCTTTGGGGCAAGGAGGGGGTGGTAGAACTTCTTTGCAGGTGGTGGAGGCCACTGTCCTCTGGTGGTCTGTCCTTCGGTATTGTTAGTGGCCGCTGGTGACCACTGACTAGACCCGTTAATTCCTTAGGGGTTGCAAAAAGATGAAACGTTGATTCTGTTCTTTTTCAGTTATTAGCTGGAATACTTCTGTAAAGAGCAACTTCTCAGTTCGTTACCCTGAGGTACAGTTCATGTAAGAAAGTCAGGATATTTGCATCTTTTTCTTTATCAGTTTTCAAATAATGACTTGGTTTCCTTAGCCTCCTCAGGTGATAGTCAAAATATTAACACGGATTTAAATATGTTGTAGACTTTTATGAGAAGTAGACATCTGGTACCACCTGCCAGGCATCTGGCCTTCATATGTGCGGTAGTGGCAAAGTGTCTTGTAAGGGTGAAGTCCTACCTCCTCTCACCCATGTATCCTCCTTGAAAAGCCCTCTTGAAAACTGTAACCAGCAGAGCAGGAGAACCTAAATATAGACACAGTCCCTTTTTCAAAGCCCTTGGGGCCACCTGTGTCTTTCCCCTGATATTTTATTTGCTCTAGTTTTGTACTTGGAGAAGACTTGCTTCCCTGGTGGCGATTCTCCGTGCATGTTGTCATCTTTGTATCTCTGTGTAGGTCTGCCTGACGCTTTCTCATGAGACTGGGTTTGGGGGTGTTGGATATTTATTTTATTCTATGGGTTATAATCAATATTGGATTCTGATCAAAATTGTTAGTACTTTGTTGCTCAAATTGCTTCAGCTTCAACCACTGGGAGCACCTTCCATTGGATTCTTGTACCCTTTCAGTATACTCCTGTCCTGGCAATTTTTTTTTTGAGCACTTCCTTACTTTCTGGCACTACCAGGCTCGTCCTGTGTCCCCCTGTTCTAGCCCTGTAATCACCTACTTCTGCAAAGAGCCCTGGCTCCTTTTAGTGGAGAATAGTATTTAGAATTGAGCACTTCCTTACTTTCTGGCACTACCAGGCTCGTCCTGTGTCCCCCTGTCCTAGTCCTGTAATCACCTACTTCTGCAAAGAGCCCTGGCTCCTTTTAGTGGAGAATAGTATTTAGAATCCAAGATGTGGACACTAGGTGTGTTCATTGCTTCCTGGGTATCATTGTTCTCTCACTGGACTATGCTAGGAAATATGTTTATATATATTAGCCCACACTAGCTGCGTTTTGAATTCAGAATTTTCAGATTTTAGAAAAGTAGTATGATACGTATGTAATGACGCCCCTGGTTACTGCATCAGTGCTTTTCAGCACTGACAGAGTTGGGATGTGTCGTCCCCTCCAAAACTCACGTGGAAATCTGATCCCCAGTGTGGCAGTGTTAGAAACTGATGAGTCATGGGGGCGGATCCCTCATGAATGGATTCATGCTCTCCCTGGGGGAGGGGGGATTAATGAGTGAGATCTCACTCTATTAGTTCCCCTGAGAGCTCATTGCTTGGGCCCCTTCTCTCTCTCTCTCTCTCTCTCTTGCTTCCTCTTGATTCTTTCTCTTGCTTCCACTCGCCATGTGATCTGCTGTACCCGTGGGCTCCCTGCCACTTTCCGCCATGAGTAGAAGCAGCCTGAGGCCCATGCCAGATGCAGCTGNCAGTTTTTCTCAACATAAAAATGTCAATTTTTATTGTTGAAACTTACAGCAAAATAAGCTTTAATAAAAAATGTAACTCGCTTCAGAATGGTACACGGGCATGCACCTTCCTGCTCTCTATGGGATGGGGAGGGAAAAAAGTGTGGTGCTCCCTGGTGTGGACAGTGGACAGTGGCAAGACTCGTGGCAGAAGACGGAGCCTGGCTCCCGAACAGACGGAGACCGTGTGCGACAAAAAGCAAAGTCCCACCTGTGTGTTATCTAGAAGAGGCATACCCTGTGTGGAAGTATTTGGGAAGGTTAAAATTAAGACATGGTAAAATACAATAAAAACAAATCACCGAGTAAGGGTTAATTTTAATATGAGAAGTGTAGAATTCAAGGAAAAAGAATTAGGGCAAAGAATTTTTTCCATATTTTTGGTTGCTGTTCAGATATAGCCTACAGCAGAACTATATGACCCACAAACATTTATATGAATATTTAAATATTTGAGAACTTACAGTGTCAAACAGTGTAAAGTAAAACTGATGGACATCTAGGAGAATTTGGTGAATACAGTCCTAGCTGTAGTGAAAGTGATTAATTTAGCTAGCTGTTTTTGCAGATCAAGCACAAAAAATAAGGATATAAAAGATGTCTATAGTGGGATTAATACGGTTGATTTAGTAGATTCTGTCCCATGTGCTTGGAATGTTCATAGAAATGAAGCCGAACAAATTAAGGCATTGGGGAAAACTACAGTGATGTTTCAGGAAAACCTGGGCAGGGCTTTGTCTTCTGATCATAGTGTGAATTAGAAAGTGAAAATTACTTGGAAGACAAAACTCACTAAACAATTGGGTAAAAGATACATAAGCTAATTACAAGTACTTACAGAAAAAGTTGATAGCCATGTAGTTATAAGTTTGAACTCTTAAGCAGGCAGCTTCTGTGTACTTCAGTTTTCTCCTTTGCAAAACGGTAATAAAAGCACTATTTAGCATTCCTGTGGGGATTAAATGAGGTAAAACACATAGAATACTTGTAAACACTCAAAATGTAAGCTAATTATTATTATGTATTATTGGGTATGAAATGTAGGGTATGTGGCTGAAGCTAGATGCACGTTTATGCCGCGATACGTTTCCATTAAATAAGAAAAAGGAAGATCTGGGGAAGTAGCTGTTATTTCAGGAAGAAAGAAGAATAGTCACATCAAGATTCTGATGCATAAGTGTGACAACCTGTCAAGATTTAGAAGACAAACAAGACATATCAAAAGTGGATACAGCTCCCAACTGTCAGTTTCCACTGTCTGAGCAGTAAAAGAGAAAGTGTATGGAAGTTCCACAGATATACAGGAAACACAAACAGATATGATTTAGAAGACAAACAAGACATATCAAAAGTGGATACAGCTCCCAACTGTCAGTTTCCACTATCTGAACAGTAAAAGAGAAAGTGTATGGAAGTTCCACAGATATACAGGAAACACAAACAGATATATAAACTTTGTGGTAATAAATTGGAGTACTTGCAACAAAATGCATAATTGTCCAGGAAAACAAATCATCATTATTCAAAAATAAGAATATGAATAGTTCACCCACCATGGGAGAAGTTAGTCGATCAGAGGCTCAC